TTTAGGGGTTTAGGGTTCTAGGGTTTGGGGTTTAGGGCTTGGGGAGTTTGAAGTTTAGGGTCTAGGGAGTTTAGGTTTTAGGGTTTAGGGTTACTGCTGGATGGGTTCCCATATATGCAGATTGTCAGCCATGTAACCTTGACGAAGGCTCTGAAAAAAGTCCGTGCCCAACGACCACCATTTCTCGGCACCTGAACCGTTCAGGAAGCTTCAACTCCGAATTTTATGGCCCCATGGACACCGCAAAGTTGAATGGCTGGAGCAGCAAGAAAGAGACGCTCAGGATCATGTAGACCCTGATTCATAAGCCCCTCTCCCGCAATGTTCATTATCATCGTGATCCCACCATTTGGCCCTTTCAAGAAAGGGTGTAACCCTAAACCCTAAACCCTAAACCGTGGCCCTGACCGGGTCGAGAGTTACACAATCCAGGAAGCCCCATAAGAAGCCATCCACAGGCCACCCTGCGTTCCAAAGCTGAGGTCCCAAAACCTCTGTTACCACCCTGTCTCCTTTCAAACTCCTAAACCTCAAACCCTAGACCCTAGACCCTAAACTCTAAACCCATAACCCCTAAACCCTAAACCCCTAGACCCTAAACCCTAAACCAAAAATCCCTAAAGCCTAAACTCATTTTAGGAGCTGCCGCAAGCCGTGCTATAAGGCTTAGGGTTTAGGGTTTAGGGTTTGAGGGTTTAGGGTTTAGGGTTTAGGTTCACTTAGGGGACTCATAACTATAACTTCTAACCCCAGTTATGACCTACTTACAAAAGCCCCTATAACTTCTAACCCCGGTTATGATCCACTTGCAAAAGCCCCTGAGCCCAGCAGTAGACGGCTTTCATGAACTCCCAAACCCTAAACCCTAACACCCAAAACCCTAATGAACTCCTCAGCTGACGGACGCTCCCGAGATGACTCGGCGCCCGGCCAGCGGCTGGCTTGTTCCATGCCTACCTGGTTCTGGGTTTGAGGGTTTAGGGTTTCGGGATGTTTCGGGCTTTTAAGGTTTGAGGGTTAGGGTTTAGGGTTAGGGTTTGGGGTTTAGGACTTTTCAGGTTTTAGGGTTTAGGGCTTTAAGGTTCTGGGGTTTAGGGTTCAAGGTTACGGTTGTAAGGCTTAGGGTCTACGGTGTGGGGTAGCCCAGTCGAAAAAAGCGCCGTGTCTGCATCTCAGGGCTTGGGGAAGACATGGGATGGGCATCTTCAGCTTAGTAAGACAGGATCAAACTAAGCATCTTCATGAAAAGGTTTAGAGTTTAGGGTTTAGGGTCTAGGGTTTAGGATTTAGGGTTTGGGATTTGGGGTTTAGGGTTTAGGGTTTAGGGTTTAAGGACCAACTCAAAACTAAGCTCGATTTGCTGTACTTCGAAGCTTTACTCAGAAGATCTGAGCTCTTCCAACCTGAACAAATTCAGTACCGGGGATATGCCAGGCTCCCAAACGCGCCTTTGGGCGTGGTGTTGCCTCTTGGCTTGACCTTGGTATAGGCGGCAAGGTTTAGGGTGTAAGGTTGTATGAGGGTGTACTTGGAGGGTCGGGGGACTTAGTAGCTAGCTATTTTTCTAGACTTATAAGTATCATAACCCCAATTAGGATCCCGTCTAAGGTACTTATAACTCTACTCAATATCTACTTACTAAGTCCCCTGACCCTCCAAGTAGGGCGTCAGACATCAACACTCTGAAGTCGCCAGCGCCAGGAAACTGCAGTGCCCTCCGACTCTCTCCGCATCAAGGGTGCTGCGCTCTGCATTGCAGAGTTCTGACTCAAAACCCAAAGGCGAGATCCGATATCATAACCCTAAACCCTAAGCCCCATACCCTAAACCCGAAACCCTAAACCCTGAACCCCGAATGCTGAACCCTAAACCCTAAATCCTGAACCCTAAACCAGAACCCTAAACCCTAAACCCCAACCCTAAACCCTGAACCGCAAAACCTAAACCCTTAACCGCGAAACCTAGAGCCCAAACCCTACAATGCTCAACTCAAGTAAGGCAAGGCACCGCGAGCAACTCCTGCACCTGGCTCCTGGCTGAGGGCTTAGGGTTTAGGGTTTAGGGTTTACGGTTTGAGGGCCTTGGTTTCTGTTTGGGTGCCACCATGTTTTATAGGGCTTTGTCACAGGTTTGAGGCCTTAAAACTCAGCATCTGAGTCTGAGGGCGTGGGATTCGGGGGTTTTAGTGCGTAGGGTTCAAGACTTTTGAAGGGTGCGCGATTTGCAGGGTTTGTAGTTGTGGCATACCCTAAACCCCAGGCCCGAAACCCTAAACCCTAAACCCTAAACCCTAAACCCTAAACCCTAAACCGTTTGTAGTTGCGGCATGTAGGTTTAATCACCGGCAGCGTGCGGCTCTGGATGTTGGGAGGGTTTGACGGTTTAGGGTTTAGGGTTTAGGGTTTAGGGTTTAGGGTTTAGGGTTTAGGGTTTCGGCCTGAGGGTCAGAGGTGGGCTTTGGGCTGCTACAGGGCTATTGGAGGGTGTGGGGTTTATAGGATTTATGGGTTTGGGGTTTAGGGTTTAGGGTTTAGGGTTTAGGATTTATGGGCTTGGGTTTGGGGTTTAGGGTTTAGGGTTTAGGGTTTAGGATTTAGGGGCTTGGGTTTGGGGTTTAGGGTTTAGGGTTTAGGGTTTAGGGTTTAGGATTTAGGGGCTTGGGGTTTAGAGTTCAAGAACACAAAGCCTGCACTTCGAAGGGTGATCTTGCATGAGTTTAGCATAGACTTTACAAGGCACCAGCTCCTGTATGCCACTGCCGTAATAAAAGAAAAGATGATGAGAGCAGCAATGAATGAAAGCAATCGTCACAATCATAATGAACAGCACTATCAAAAGCATTACTTTGGTTTGATATCCGTACAAATCCAAACTGCAATACCAAGAAATGCCAAAAGCAACATCTCATATATATATATATATATAAGCATGACTGTCATCGTCATAACTGGCGGTACTGGACAGCCGAGGAGGGCCTCTCGTCCACCCACATGCAGCCACGAGTGCTTGGGACTGCTCTCGGCCGCACAGGACCTTCCAACATAGGGGGCGATCTTCGTTCAGCGAGGCTGCGCTAATCTAAACCTGGTGAACAGTCAAGGCCAAGAATGGCTTTTGTAGACCGGACTATGCAAGTCTGTGTTCTATTCTTGCAGTTCGTACACGAGGGAATCCACCGCCCGTGGACAGACCGCTGCAGAGCAGAAGGAACCCGGCCGTCGGCATACGTGAAGACTTCAGAACATAGCCCGTAAACCCAAGGCCCAAAGAACGGGACAAGAGTATCGGGCCGAATCGGGCCTGCTTTGCCGGTGGATGCTGCCCGACGTCGAGTGCAGCCTCTCCAGCGTCGACAGCTTTTAAACGCAAGCCTACCCGATTTATATAACAAAAAGGTTCAGAATTCAAAGGCTCTGGGCTGAAGACGGTGGCTTTAACTTTCAGGTCTGGGCCTTAATTTTAAGGCTTCGTGAGTGCCGGGATTCAGCAGTCCATGCTGGTTGCTGCTTATCCTACCTTCTTCAAACCGGGCTTCAGAGCTTCAGGGGGTTTCAGGGTGGCAATTTAAGGGTTAGGGCTTAGGGTTTANNAACCATACCTAGACCCTCCATCTACCCTCTATTAAACCCTAAATTACCCACTACTTTGGGACCATATACCCCTATTTCAGGGTACAAGGAGGGTCCTGGTAGCTTTCGAGAGTCACGGTCTAGCTCTCCATTTTGCAGCCCTGGCAACCTGTATGCCTGCTTCACGGTTTACTTGAAGGGTCGGGGGACTTAGTAAGTAGATATTGAGTAGACTTATAAGTACCCGAAAAGGGATCCTAAGTGGAGTTATAGTACTTATAAGTCTATAAAACTAAGTCCCCCGACCCTGCACGTAGGATTTAGAGTCTAGGCTTTAAGTTGCGTATCCACTGCATTTTTGAATGACCGCTCCTTACCAAGGGCTGGCGGCTGTTAGGTTTCAAAGAGGACTGACACACGCAATCTAAACTGACGATCCTTCCGACACCCCAAACCCCAAACCCTAAAC